TGTTACCCTTTCACTGTTAGATTTACTGTGTGGCTTCTCTCTTCTGATTGGACAGCAGATGAGTCAGGTGTTTTCTAAGAGAATATTATTATTCTTCTGAGAGAGAGAAATAGCCCCATATAAGTTATTTAAAATTTGTACAAAAGCTGTATATGAAGGGCCAGAGTCAGAAATTCAGAAACCATAAGCCAGTTGTGTAAAAGGAAACCGACATGGTGAGTGGAGAAAATAGTGAGGGTTTTGTCAGATTGGAGAAGGTTTATGAAGGAAAAATGAGAGGCAAAGTGACCAAAGTATATTGGAGCAAGACTGTGGAAGCTTATGAGTACTCAGCAGAGAAGTTGAACTTTCTCTTTTAGTTTATAGGGCACATTCAGTAGATTTTTAAATAAGAACTGGCAATAAAAATATTATGTTAATGGACTCAAGTATACAAACATACCCATAGTAAAGGAGCTTTAAAGTATGGAAATCTATTTATCATTAATTATTTTCTTTGCTATTAATCCAGTTTTCCATGTTAATACGTTATTCGAAAAAGTGCAGCTTAAAGATTAAAAAATGCATTAGTATACAAAATCCACAGAGCATTACTTATTCATCTAGATATTAGATTATGGTATTTATGAATATGGAACTTGTTTTCTTTGACTATACGTTTAGTAAAAACTGCCATTTAGTATAAGTATGCTCTGCTTTTCTCTCTCTTTTTAAAGTAAATTGAAATAAGTACCTGAGCTTTGTGTTGTGTGTGTGTGTGTTTTTTTCCCCAAAGCCTAGATACTGTTAATCAGTAGGGCGCAAGCAGGATTTATTTTTTACAAGGGCGGAAACCTATGCTTATTTACTGATTATTTATCATTATTCATTTGATGTGCCTTGTTAGATAGTATTCATGTAGTCTCTGTTTTGATTTAAAAAGTACAAATCTAATGCCTATTCATTGTAGAAAATTCAGACAATGTACATAAGCGTATATAAAAACAGAAGACCATTGTAGCCTCCCAGATAATATACTGTTAAAATTTTGTTGTGTCTTTTTTCCAGTCGTATATACAAATTTATGTGTGCATATGTGAATGCATACATTTACGTGTGTATTTATTTAATATAAACATATTTTTTGTACATGCATATAATATTTCATAGCTTGCATATTTTACTTCACATATTGTGGCTATCTTCCATGAAGTGTTTCCAAGTAATACCGTTTTTTATGACTACATAATTGTTCATCAAACGAATTTGCCATAATTTTACAAATTGCCCTTTACGGATATTTAAAATATTTTATATTTCTCTGTTTAAAATAGTGTCATTATGAGAGGAACAGCTTTTTTAGTTCTATCTGTGTATATTTACATGATTGTCTATCCATTATACATTTGTAGACATGGAATTGCTGGATAAGAGGGTATATATTTCTTGAGGGTTTTGATTCTTATTGCTAGATTGCTCCCTAAAAGGGTTGTACTTAAAAAAAAAAAAAGCACATAAATTTTTCTCTTCTGTCTCGAATGATGTATTTGAGAACTCCATTGCTCAAGAGACTGTAAGGAATATTTGTAAGACCACACCAAAGAAGTTATGTTAATTAAAAGTTAGTACACATTGTATGTGTGTGAAAACAGATGTTTCATTATTAAGCCTTGAGATAGCTAAACTCTTATTAGAAATCTGAGGGATTAGTTAGCTAGTAACAAAACAGTAATAAATAAGCTTACATTATACCATAAACGATGAGGGAAGTGCATATCCTGGAATTTCCCAACTATAAGGATTGGGAGCGGTTACTCTGGGAGACTGTGAAAGTAATGTTTAGAAGTTGATAAGAACAGCACAGTAGTCTCTGTGTTTGGGATGATGGAGGAGAATCTTGTGTCAAACAGGCAGCCGCCTCCGTGGTGCTTGCTGGGTAAGTTGCAACTAAAACTAGTCAGTAGGCAGAGGATTTAGATGGCTTTTTGGTACTAGTGCTTGCTTCTTTCTTTCTGGAACTCTGCAGTAAATGCTTTACTGTTCCATAGCACTCAAAGCATGTTGCAGTAGCCAGGCAGCATTGAGAGAAGACCAAGCAGAAACATTTTATAGAGATGAATTATCAGCACTGATTTTCTTTATTATTTAACTTGCCTAAAATGCGGAAATCATTTAGATTAGCTTTTATTTGTGACTTTTGTCTTTCCGATGATCACATTGGTGACGTCTACAAATGAATATATTTTGTTCCTCTTACTTCTGTAATAAAACCATTAATTACTGTAGTGTAAAATACAATTGGCTGAAAATTTCTAAATGGTCTTAATGGTAAATATCATACTATATAATTAAAATATGACACAAAGCATATATTACTCCAAAGTTTATTTTATAATAGTAGACAATGACTATTAGAAAGCCAGTAAGTTCACCTCACCCCGGTAAGAATGACCATCATTAATAAAACAACAGATGCTGGCAAGGGTGCAGAGAAAAAGGAACACTTCTACACTGCTGGTGGGAATGCAAACTAGTGCAACCTTTTTGGAAGACAGGGTGGCAATTACTGAAAGAACTAGAAATTGATCTTCCTTGTGACCCAGCAATTCCCATATTGGGAATATACCCGGAGGAACTCAAATCATTCTACAAAAAGGATACCTGCACATGTATGTTTGTTTCAGTTCTATTCACAATAGCAAAAACATGGAACCAACCATGTTGCCCATCAAAGCTGGACTGGATTAAAAAAATGTGGTACATATACACAATGGAATATTATGCAGCCATAAAGACAAATATATGGACTTCGCAGCAACTTGGATGGATTTAGAGTCTACCATACTCAGTGATCTATCACAGAAACAAAGAACAGAGTACCATATGTTCTCACTCATAAGCGGATCTTGAGCAATCATCATAATACTATAAGAAAGGAATTGGCAATAGTGGGAAACAGTCAGGGGAGGGGTGTGGGATTGGCAGTTGAGGGAAACTGCTACGGGAGGGAGGGACATGCCTCATCAACAAGGGTAATCAATGTTTGTATACCTAACCCTGAATTGTACCCCCCATCTTTATAATAATAAAAAAGAATAATTTAAAAAAAGAAAGCCAATAAGTCATTTAGCAATCACTACTTCAAAACTGACATTTTGAAGCCATAATTAATACAGACTTGTAAACATAATTTAAATGTGTTATCATCATAATATGCCACTGAGAAAACTGTTCATAGCAGTGGAGAAATAGGCCACAGGTACGTGAAGTAGCTGAGGCCCAGTACCACTAAGTAACGTAACCCGAGATCTTAGGGCTGGGCCCAGTTAAAAGCAACAATTGGTCTGCGATGCAATGGTGAATCTGAAAGACATCTTGCTAATTCAGCCATTGACTTCCGAATGTGAATATAACTAAGAATAGAAATATCCTGCTTCTATAAATTAGGTTCGGATCCAGGATATCCTGTTAAAAAAAAGATATAATTTCTTCAAAAATATACACGAACAATTTATTCTATTAATGTGTGGTCTGTGTGAATCAGGAAGAAAAATGAACAAGAATTCCTTCCAGCTTACAAGGGAAGATGAGTGCCGGGACAATGAAGTGTACATTAGTATCGGTCACTATCACTTTTGTATGCTTATTCTGTACTTGAACCCTGCTAAAGTGTTATATGAAGTCTTTACAAAAGCTCTCAACCATGCAGTACCACCCAATGAGACTTGGTCAGATTTGAAATTTGGTTTCTCAAATGGTTGAAACTCTTCTCCTTGCCATGATTTGAATCTGTTGTCATAGATTTTAATCTGTTTTTGTCCGAAGATTAATGGATTCTACATGCTGTCTGGTTAAGAGGACCAAGTATAACCTTTGTATATGAGGGCTCTATAGCACGACACCTAGTATATTTTGGTTAAAATTATATCCTAGGAAATAATGTATTTTATGATAAAATTTGTGTTCTACCTTAAGTGTGATAAATAGTTGTATTTCCGTTTTTGTGATATGTGCCTTTGTTAAAATCCAGTGATATGAGTACAATTGGTTGTCCTACTGGAGAGGTTCTTAGACTAAGATCAGCAGCCCAGTGTTCAAGTTTTATTTCTACATTTAGTCACCCCATGGCCTTTCCCTGCAATGTACAGTGTGTGTTTGAGTGTTGTGAGAGTAGGACATTTTTTTTCTTGGGCCTTCCTGCGTTAGACAACCTGCGAGTGTTTATTAAATCAAAAGGAGTGGAGTAGATTTGTGATTTCAGACTGGGTTTCTTGTAGCTCTAGAACCACAGGAAATGTTGAAGAATTGAGGATGGATGCAGTGGTGATTAGCTGACAGCTTAGTGGGTGAGACTTCTACCAAGTGGAAAATCTACCATGTGCCCAATTGTGAGTTCCAGAAATAAATGTTAGCCCTTCCACCAACACTACAAAGTATCCTTATTCTCTGAAGTGATGTTCAAAGTGGTAAGTACATCGCAAATGGTCATGCAGCTTGTATAAATGATGATCTTGGAATTTGAAATTAGAAATGTTTCCATAGCCTCAGCACATCTCCCTGTTCTGGATAGGGAAAAAGATGGGTGCACCCTCTATGTAAATCAGGCCAATAAAACTGTTTTTGTTTGTTGCTTTGTTTCGTATTTTAAAAGGTCTGTTTAGTAAGACTAGAGATTTTTTAGAGTGAGATCTGATTTGAACCAGAATCTACCCGGTCTACGGTAGGATTTTCAATAAGTTGCTTAATTTGGCCTCAATTTCCTAATTTGTAAAATATAATAGAAGGTTCTGTGGAGACTAAATGGGTTAATATATGCTGCATACTTTGAAGAATGTCTTTTACTTAGTAATAATTAAATTCACCTACTTACTTGACCGATATCTTTCTATGGCTATGTTTTAGATGATAGGGTCTTTTTGAGTTGGATTTAATGTTCAAAATGGCTTGGTAGCTTTTTATTGTTATACATTCCATTTTGCTTATACGTCTATTTAGCCTTATTATTTGTCATGTCATTTCAGGTTCCTATATGATAGTGGACTCTTCAAATCATGATCCTGGAGAAAAAGCCAGACTTCAGCTGCCTACAATGAAGGAGAATGACACTCACTGCATTGATTTCAGTTACCTCTTGTATAGCCAGAAAGGGTTGAATCCTGGCACTCTGAACATACTCGTTAGGGTGAATAAAGGACCTCTTGCCAATCCAATTTGGAATGTGACTGGATTTACGGGTAGAGATTGGCTTCGGGCTGAGCTAGCAGTGAGCACCTTTTGGCCCAATGAATATCAGGTAATCGCCTGTGCTTTTTCTGCTGTATGCTTTGATGTCACCGAATCTCACTGTGTGTGTAATATGTAGACATAGATGTGCACCCCATAGTAATGGGAGATTTTTCCCTTCTGATCTTCCTCATCCTTGTTGTTGAGGAAGTGTTTGGATACATTGGCACAAAGCCTTCTAAGTAGAGAAAATATTCCCACATATCAAAAACCAAGTTGGTTTGGGTCAAAAATTTGTTGGTTGTTTAGCAAAAAGCTACTTGTTGACAGATACATTCCTATGGCTTTGTTTGTACCTTCAAACTGGATTTACTTACCTACTTCTTGAAAATAACATATGGGAAGTAAGCTTGAAGTAGTGTTTCATAAAATATCTTATCTTAAGAGACATTTTAATTATAGTTAATTATTATTTCACTAATTTTTTCAATTGAATGGAATATAAAAATAAGTAAACAGAATAAGACAAGTTGTCCACTACATTTTTGGATTTTTTTCTCCCAGAAATGCTTAATCTAATTATTGTTAACCCAGACAACGAATAGGGTCAAATACTGTGACTGAAGTTATATGGTTTAACAAAAAAAGTCTCATTTACTAGTTTTGGAACATTGTTCAGTAACCCTCACTCTGAGGTTAAACTTGAAAACAGAAAGTTCTCTCTTTAAAAGCTCACTTTTGTGTTAAACCTTGAGATTTAAACTTTTAAAGAACTTTCCTATTTGTAGCTTATTATATAACCTAATGAGCATGCATTTATATAAAAGTATATTTTTTGATGGTCCGTGAGTAGTATATAAACTGATAATGGTTTTATTTCTACTTAAAAAAAAATGAACTATTAGGTTTGTCTTTATCCCTGAAAGTAGAAAAAAAATAATGCCTTGTTTAAGTTGCTTTGCCTTGAGTTGTTTTTTCTATTTTATTAAACCCTCTTACATCATAGGCATGGTTCCACAGGTAAGGCTCTCAGTTCAAGGTTATGAGTCTATTCAGATTTCAATGGATTTTCATTAGGTACTAGTTGATTCCATTATTTCTGAACAGAAGAATGAATCTCCTAAGACTAGGAGAGATGTCTGCTTTTTCAGGGTCCACGGCCTCAGGTGGGCTGCATATATGCTAGGTAGGTGGGTGGGAGTCTGAAACTAGTGAAAAAGCCCTGGTTGTAAGATAAGTGGTCTCATCTCTGACAACAGTGGGTCGATGACTGTCATCACCAGGTCACCCTCTCAGTGCATGATCACTATACTGACTTCATGAGAATCTGTCATCGGAGCTTAACATAGTATGGGAAAGAAGTTCTGATTCAGCAGAAGAAAATCGCCAACAGATTCAGCCTCCGTAAAACACATTAAAGTCCCAAATAACAAGTTAAACTAGCAAATCATTAAAAATGTGGATTCTGGAGTCAGATTGCCCGTGTTCTACTCTGCTTGCTACCTGGGTAGATAGTTCTTCAAGGAATCAGTCTGTTAGTTGTACCATAAGAACAAAAGCATAGAATAGATTTTGATAAATCCAATGAATGCTGTATCTATAGACTATTTTCCCTCATAACTAAGAAATGGCATGCAAGTTATTCTCACTAATTTTTAAAACATGTATCTTTAAATTACTGATGTTAGTAACATTTTCTTATGGCATAGATTACTGTAGTGTTAATTCTAATGCTGAGTTACAGTAACTCATACTAGATAAATGGTTCTTTGTTCTGTCTCATTTTGTGTGACGAAACTCCCTAGGTTACATATGCCTGTGGTGTATTTAAGCAGGCTGTGCAAGAGCCTGGGTGAGTTTCAGCCTGGCCAGTGAGATATTTTTGGAGATGTCTTGTCAGAGAAAAAGATGACTAAATACATGGGACCTATGGGTAAATGTCTCACAGATTAAAATCTGAGCCACAGATAATTCCTAAGTGATTGTTTTGCTCCCACATCTTTTTTCCTTAACCTGAAAAGCTTAATCAATGAGAGCAAATAACAGAGTATATTTATTCATGTGCTTAGTGCTCAATAAGTTACTTAATTGATGTTTTCATCAATTCAATCATTTAGATACCTAGTTGTATATTAATTATAGAAATAGCCAATGTAAAATAAACTATATTAGTGTATTTTTTTCTTAAGAAATACTACAAAAAATTAAAATTTCCATACCTTTTTGATAGCGTTCAAAGCCAAATAATGTCAAGTTTTTGGTAAGGGTTGGTTTGCAGGCAAAACATAGTAGAATTTTTTTGGTAGATGACTTCAGTGTTGATCATCTCTATGTTTAAAGAAACTCAATTGCTTTAAGTACCAGATATCAGAGGCCAGTTTTGAGATCCCGTTAAGGAAACTTGGAGACCTGACTTTTTATTCTTGTGATGGAAAAGAACCACCTCGCATCTGTAGAGAGGCATGTGTCAGACTTGCCTTACAAAGGAAAAGTCTTACCCTACAATGTTTCTTTCTCTCTGATCAAACCTGCTCAAGTCATTGGCTAGAAATGTTTAATATAAAAATATATATATTTTAAATTTTATTTTAAAAAAGTATTACAGAAAATAAATTTGCCCTTAGGAAACAAGCTATATCACATGACTGCCTTAATCATAACATAATTTGACTGTGATCCATGTAAAATATCTAATTTTGCATAGAACATCCTATTAGACTTCCAGAATGAATTAGCTTTAGATTGTGGACAAACTTTACCAATGAATTGACCCATCAGATGTCATTATTTGATATTTCATACTTTGACTTTGTTTTTGGCATAGTTTATGGAGATCTGTTTGTCCTGGCAATAATTATTCTTCTTCAAGACTTGTCAACCTCATGAATGGATGAGAAAACTGGCTACATAGAATGGCAGATTGTACTTTTAATTCCAGCCATATTTTAGCAAGTCACGGGCATTCTTTGTCTTTTCTACGTTTTAGCAGAGAGATATATTTAGTTTCAAATTATTCTTTGCTTTATCAAGTTCTAGAACTAGTCTCAATAATTAGCTGACAAGGTACGTTTATGCTTAAGGATGGGGAAAATTATGCGAAATGCAAATGCTCAAGTTCTTTCAGCTAAAATTCACTATACTGAAGATTGCGATACATTATATATATATATAAAGTAATGTATGCGAAAAACAACTATTAAAAAAGAATAGCTTACAAAAGGTCATTGTCATTATTGCTTGTAGAATCTTATGTTCTGTATTTTCTCAGCTGTAGTCATTTTATTAGGTTCTTAACCTTGTTTGCAGGGTGCTAAGGAGTAAATAATTTAAATGCTGTATTTTAGTAGAGAAACACAAATAAACCATTTTGGAAGTTTAGAGAATAGAGAGAGTACTCTTCTGTTCCGGAAAATCAAGGCAAAATCAAGGGAAGCTACATGGATGTACTTTCTGCTCTTAAGGAGCTTAGTCCAGATAGATGTGAAATATACTTTGATAGAACTTGAAACATGATGGCAATAGTTAAGTGACTTAAGGGGCAAATACAAAATATAGTGGAGACAAGCAAAAATGAAAGATAGAGTTGTTTTCAATGTAATTTGAAGCAGAAATGGGACTAGAATCACCTCTTGATTCCTCTATTCTTGATTAGTATGCTTTCCACTGTACTGCATATTTTCTCTTAAATTACAATTATTTAGGGCCAACACTTTCTATAGTCAAACAGAACGAGCAAATCTCAATTTTGTTTTTGACATAATCATTGCAGCAGTACACTAATATTTCAGGAGCGAACTGTTTCTCCCCTATGTCTTTAGAACAATAGATGTCTTTTCAGCTTAGAATACTAATTATAGAATTTATCGTATTACATTTGTGCTATTTGCCATGGTTGCAAGATGCCATCCTACCTATTTTGTTAAGCCTTCAGTAAGTACTGCAGATACTTAAATTGATTGCTAAATGAAGTAAACGGAAGAAAAATCCTCATGAAACATCATCTTGGTGTTAAATTTCAACTGAAGATCAGCATACCTCTAAAAGTGTAATTTTCTCCACTCTGGAAATCTGACCTGTCTTACGTGCATACAACTAAGTTCTGCTTGGGGATTAAATCCATTACTTTCTTACTGAACAGCGAAGTTGTTACTAAATGAGGCAGGCAGACGTATGTAACTTGCAAAACTATTAGTGGAAACCTAATCTGCTGTTTTCCATTAACTGGGTGCACGTCATTAATCACAAAAATGATGCGTGATGAAAACTCAGGGGCTTGGTCAGAAATTGGAAAGTGATAATATAGCAGAAAGTCCCATCCCCCCCCCCCCCGCCCCAGTTCACTGAGAAGCAAACATAGAACTTTTGCAATTCATTTTCTTCCTACCATTTTCCACTGTTTTTCAAAAATGTAAGAACGGGACAGGCAGGGGATTTTTTTTTTCTGATTTTGGTCTGCTTTTAAGAGGGTTATATTAACATGTATTGTGCTGATATTTTGTCAACAGAAAGTTTGGTACACTGTTGAGACTCTGCTGGCTTCAGATCTAAGATTGGGACTCACCCCAAGTGGCTTTTCTTGAGTAACAAAGCCTGTAAAAGATTGATCTTGGGGCACAGTGGGCTTTGTGAGAAGAGCATGTTCACGAGCCATCCATGCACAGAGTGCGGGAGAGAGGGTGTCAGCCTTCCGTCATCGCTCTCACGATTCTTCCGATTTGTGCTTGTCTGTGTTCGTCTGTGTAGTGTCCCACTATAGTATTTTTTTTTTTTTTTTTTTTTTTGAGTCGGAGTCTCACTCTGTTGCCCAGACTGGAGTGCCGCGGCCGCTCCCGGCCACCGCAGCCTCGACCTGCTGGGCTCCGGCGATCCTTCCGCCTCAGCCTTCCAAGGAGCCAGAACTACAGGTGTGCGCTACAACCCGGCTGATTTTTTGATTTATTGTAGAGATGAGGTCTCGCTGCCCAGGCGGGTCTCGAACCCGCGGGCTCAGGCCATCCACTCACCTCAGCCTCCCAAAGGCGCGGGATGACAGGCTGAGCCACTGAGCCCGGCTCCACTCTAGTATGGAGG